GCTCTCAGTGGGCAGCAGTTCATTCCTGATGAGCTCATCTCTCCCTGCCCTGCAGGGCTTCTGTGCCACCCAGCCGTGGCTCCTGGTGTTTTTGTGAGGATTAGGATTCAGGTTATCCCCCTCCACTTTGAGCTGAGTCACTGGGGGTGATTTCATTTCCTTTTGGCCCCTGTGCACAGAATTTTGTGTCAGTGCAGTGCCTGACACAGGATCTGTGCTGCATTTTGTCACCTGGGCTCAGCAGGGTGAAATGTTGGGGGATGAGACCCTTCAGGGGCATTTCTGACTGAGGGGTGCAGGCAGCTCTGGGGTGCTTTAACCCACCCTGGAGTTCATGTACAGAAGGATGGGGAAACCAGGAGCTGGGGATTTACCTGATTTTTGATGAGTCTGGTGTCACTTCAATGTGCCACCCATGAGAATTGCAGCTGGCCCTGCTAAATCTGAAAATCAGAGTCACCTTGGAAAAGACCTTTAAGATCGGATGGGGTGGATCAATATATATAAAAAATAAAATTCTGTGTTGAGAGGATGTGTTTCTCTTGTGATCCATGGGGAGAAAGAAGGCAATACCCAGATTTCAAACTTGAATTTTAGGAATTCTTGACTGGTTTGGAGGAGCAATTTCAGGCTGATGTCAGGACACTGATAAGGAGGATTCTGATCAGTGATATTTGATCAGGTCACATTGAGAGGTTACAGTGCTTAAGCCAGGAGAATAACCAGTGATTTGTGGCTTTCCCTTTGCAGGGTATCTTCGTGGCCTGCATGACAGCCATCCTGAGGCAGATGGATGATTTCCATTACAGCCATTACATCAACACTTTCAAAACCAGGCAGGACATCATTGTAAGTCAGCCTGGCTGGGCAGTGAGCTCAGCCTGACTCTGCTCTGCAGGGTCATTCTCTGCTCACTTTGGGGCAGCAAACCCTCAGCAGTGGCTCCTGGTGCCACAATTTCTGGGAATTCATTCCTGTCACCCTTGCTGGGCACTGGGGGGTTGCTGACTCAGCAGAGCCCTGGAGCAGCGTTTGTGGCATTGAGGAAAAACATCTTTCATGGGTAAAAAATGTTTGATTTGAGTCAGGAACCAGAAGAGGGAATGAAGATGGAAAAGTAAAGCGTTTCATTGTCTGGCTCTCACTTTGTGCCCCTGTTCTCTTTATCTAATTCTTTCTCCTCCTCTGAAGTTTAATTAAATGCTTGAATCTTGCTTTAGTGGCAGCAATGCAGAAGGCTCTCAGAATGTTAAAAATTCACATCCCCAAAAACTTTGGGTGTGAAACAAGGTGAAATATTACATTTTTCTGCTTAAAGCCAGCAGATTTTCCCTCAAACTCCCCCAAATGGCCCCAACTTGTATTTTAGCAAGACTGGTGCACAACACAAGAACTGTTGGAGCTTTTTTGTCCCTTTATTCCTTATTTTGCAATTGGCAAGTGGCAGTTTATTGAAATATCAGCTGGGGAATGGCCTGGAGTTTTGTTCTTCCTGTACCAAAATCCACCAGAAGGTCTGGATTTCATTTTGGGGAGCCAAGGTGATCCCTTTTTTCCCTGTGCAGTTGGAATTACAGAATTTCACAGAAAATCACTTGCAAAATCAGCTCTTGGGGCAGCGTGGAGCAACACAGCCATCTACAGGTCACTCCCACTTCCTGTGGCTTTGGGACTGCTTTTATCTTACCCAAGTGATGGAAAGGAAAGGAAAGGAGAAAGGAAAGGAAAGGAGAAAGGAAAGGAAAGGA